GTCGAAGTTGGAAGAAGCTTCACGCGACGGAATAGGAACATCAGGGTCGAGGTCAGCGAGATCGCCATAGCTGCGCTCAGGGCTGTACTCTGGCTCAAACTGGCTGTACTCTTCCTCTTCCTCATCGTCGTCCTCGCCGTCCTCGAAGTTGCGGCTCTTGACGCGCCGGAGGATGGACTCGCGAGAAATGCGCGGGATCTTGGGCTCGTCAAGCGTTAGCTCGGACTCTGTAACGTCGACTTCTGCAACGTCAACTTCGACTGCCTTCTTCTTGTTCTGCATCTCCTGTGTTGGAGTGCTCGTATCGCGGTCGTCGTCAAAGTTCATCAGACGCAATCGGTCCTCGAGCGACATGGACACCTCGCGCATGTTGAGCAAATCGCTCTTGGAGATGCCAGCTGCTTGCGGAAGCTGAGGAAGAGAACGCCGCCTGTCGCCAACTCGCTCTGCGGCAGCGGACAGGCCGATGCTCGAGTCGCGCCGGCGGTTGGGGCTGCCTGGTATGGCGGGAAGAGGAGGAAGCGGTCTTGCGTCGCTGTCGGAGGCTGTTGACCCCATGCGGGAGCCATTGGTCGTACCGTTGGGACGGGCACTGGGCATGGGACTGTTGTCGCGACCTTCAAAGACATCGTCGTAGAGATCGGTGAGCGAAGTGTCGGCAGCCTGCGGGCTCATGTGGCGCCAGTCCTCGGGCAGCACAACCGGCGTCTTGTCTGTGTCTTCTAGGGAGGCATCGAAGCTGTCGTCCTGGTCGAAGCTCATCTCCTCCTCTGTCTCGTCTTCGGAGTCGTAGCTGCCGTCGCGCGACATGGTGGCGACTGAAGGGTCGGGCGTGACCATCTCAAACTCGGTGATTTGAGGTGGAGCTGTGTCGAAGGTCACACTCTTAGCATGGCGGCGCAGCGGGCGGGGGGTCTGGTGGACGAGCTCCTCGTCATCAGACATGACAGCGCTCGAGTCGCCGTTGTACTGTGGGGAGTTGAAGCGACCGTTGCTGACGAGCGAAGATTTGGTGGGCGACATGCGCCCCTCGGACGGCGAGGGCTTGGAGGGTGAAGCGAAGGAAGACTGTGTGGGCAGCTTCGCGGGCGACGTCTTGGAGGGGCTGAGGATGGGAATCCGTGTCTGGCTCTCGGAGCGGCTGTGGTGGTGGCCCTTGGCCGGGCTCTCGACTTCGTTACGCATGCCGTGGAGGCCGCTGCCGCCATAGGCGTTGCCCTGGACAGCGGTGCTGAGTGGGCGTCCTGCGGCGAGCGGGCGGTCGAGCGGCTGGACCGAGTTGGGGTCGTACTCGTGCTTCTGCTCGCGTGCGAACATGCTGCTGTTCTTGACGCGCGACTGCTTCTTCAGGTTCTCGATCGAGTTGCGCTTGGGCGAGAGGGGCGAGCTGCCCTCGTACTCGTTCTCCGACGTGTCGAAGCGGCTCTTGGGCGACGTGGTCTGCTCCTTCCAGAAGAGACGCGGGCTGTGAGTGAATGGCGACGAGTCGCGGAAGGGCGAGCTCTCTTTGGTCAGGATGATCTTCTGGGCCGGGTTAGCAGGCAGGCGAGCGAGGCGGGCGCGGGCACATACCTTGGTTGTCTGGTTCCAGCTGGGAGAGTTCCTGCGGTGCTCATGGGGGCTGATTTCCGACAGGGGACGGCCGCTTCCCTTTGTGGGCGAGGAAGTGGGCGTCTTGTTGATGCGCAGCGGCGACACCTGTGGGCAGTGCGGTCAGCATCGCGCGCGCCCGACGTGAAACAGGCGAGTGCAAAAGGAAGTACGATGATGCTTACCGCTTCGTTGCGCGACATGTTGACTGCTACGTGCGCTCGCGCTGGGTGCGTCGTGGTGTGGACGCCGTGCCGTGCGCGGGCTCGCACTCGGGCGGACTGGGTCAAGAACGGGCTCCGTCGAGGAGTCGTGCAGGCTCAGCGGAGAAGGGCTGCGCGCTGACGGGAAAGAGGCAGGCAAGAAGCGAAGGGCACCGACAGAGCGCGGGGGCAGATGTGCGATGGAGGAGCGGAGGAGGATGTGTGGGCGCGCGTAGTATTGATATGGCTGGGGCCGCGGGTGCTGCCCAGTGTTGATGGCCGGGATGCAAGCAAGGCGTCGGTGTTGGGCGGTTGTCCCGGCAACGTCCCGCTTATCGGCTGCCCTGTAGCGCCTCGAATTATCGCGCCATCGCCTGTGCAGCCCGCACGCCAGCGCGCATCCTTTAGTCAAGGTTTGGCCTAGCCGGCGCATGCTAGTCTTGCTGGCCGTCTTAATTCCATCCTGCCTGTAGAGCCTGCCGTTGCAGCCATGTTGCGCAGAGTCTCGGGCGTGTGCCCCTTCTGCCAGGTGCAGGCCCTTCCACGACGACCACCGCCAGCCCACCACGTCCGCCCGTACACGCAGCTCCAGCGCGAACGCGGCGAACGCCATGGCGCAGCCTCTTCACGACCCCCGCGGCCCGTCCGCGGGCGTGACAATCCCAGGCCGTCGCGGATGATCCTCTCTGACGACGTCGCGCGTGCCGCAGACAGAGGGCCGGCGAGGAAGCCAGACGCCTTCGACTTCCTCAACAGGACCGAAGCACCACGGGGCCTGCAGCGCATGCGCGAGCAGCGAGAAGCCCTCGGGAGCCGCCCGGCGACTGGGCGCGACGACGGCAAGCGGCGCACGCGAGCAGAGCCCTTCCACGCCCTCAAGATGCAGAGTTCGCTGCACCAGGTGCCCTACAACAACCGCACCGCCGTCAAGCGCCAGCTCGACGAGTACGACTCGTTCGACAAGTTCCCCCTCGCCGAGCCCATCCTCCGTGCCGTCAACGATGCCCTGCCCGGCCTCGAGTACCGCAATCCCACCCCCGCACAAGCCGTCGCCATCCCCGCCCTCCTCGGCCTGCGCAAGGCGGTGCGCGCAAAAGTAAAGTCCACCAAGAGCGCGCCCGACTCGTTCCTCCTGGCAGCCGAGACGGGTTCAGGCAAGACGCTGGCCTACCTCCTGCCCACGCTGGACGCTATCAAGGCCGAGGAAGTGCGCGAGAAGGACGAGGCTGAGGAGCAGGCCCAGAGAGACGCCGTCGAGGCCGCCGCCCACGAGCACGACAAGAGGACCGACATGTTCGCGGCCGAGGAGCCTGAGATCAACAAGGCGGTCGATCCAGCACGCCCGCGCGCCATCATCCTCGTCCCCTCCGCCGAACTCGTCGCCCAGGTCGGCGCCGTCGCAAAGTCGCTGTCCCACACGGTCAAGTTCCGCGCTGCCCCAATCTCAGCCAAGATGTCTGCCACGGTCATCCGCAACCAGCTCTTCAACCCCAATGGCGTCGACGTCGTCATCAGCACGCCCCCGCTCCTCGCCAGCATCGCCGAAAGCAACCCAAACATCCTCGCCCGCGTCACCCATCTCATCTGCGACGAGGCAGACTCCCTCTTCGACCGCTCCTTCAAGCAAAGCACCACCGACATCCTCGACCGCGCGACGCCTTCCCTCAAGAAGCTCGTCCTCTGTTCCGCTACCATCCCAAAGTACCTCGACAAGTACCTCGCAGACAGGTTCCCCGACATGCAGCGCCTCGTCACACCCAACCTCCACGCCATCCCGCGAAGAGTACAACTAGGTGTCGTAGACGTAAACAAGGACCCCTACCGCGGCAACAAGATGCTGGCCTGCGCCGACACCATATGGCAGATAGGCAAAGCATCCGTCGACTACGACCCCACTGAAGGCAAACAAGCCATTCCCACGAAGCGCGTCCTGGTCTTTGTCAACGAACGCGAAGACACGGAGCAAGTAGCCCAGTACCTCGTCAAGAAGGGCATCGACGCCCTCGCCTTCCACCGCGACACCGATCCCTCCCGCCAAGCCAAGATCCTCAAGTCCTTCACCAACGACGCATCTGCCAAGGAAGCCGAAGACAGTGAAGAAAACAAGGCGGAAGCGCCGAACAAACGCACGCTCCCCAACACCAAGGTCATTGTCACCACTGATCTGGGCTCAAGGGGTATCGACACCGTCTCCGTTCGCCACGTCATCCTCTACGACGTCCCACATACTACCATTGACTTTATCCATCGTCTGGGCCGGACTGGGCGAATGGGCAGGCGAGGAAGGGGCATCGTCTTGCTGGGACCCGGTGACCGAGCGGATGTAGTCAGAGAAGTCAGAGAAGCCATGTTTAGAGGCGAAGCTCTGATTTAGAAAAGATGGATATGCGTAACGACTTCAAAAGCTTCATGTACCATATACTGTTTTCTACTACGAGTACCTGCATCGCAGGAGTGTATCTATGCTTGTCCACGATATAATGGCATTGATGAATGTACCGAATCCAGAAACACGTGCTAGTGAGATAACATGATGCCAAAGCGCGGCCTTACATACGGTGATCGTTCCCACCAGATCATCGTTATCAGCACGTCCCACGCTATTTCCGTCCTCGCTAACTCATTCGGTCAGCGCCATGGGATGATGCTCTGCAAGCCCACTTGTGGCGTTTTTTCCACTTCAACCCCGCCCGGAAGGGCTCCCGTATGGGGCTCCTTGTTTATCTGCGACTAGTGCCTGCGGGGTTCATCGTTGCTGCATGGCCTGGGTATGTATGTAGTGTGTTGTGGTGTGTGTTGTTTTCTTTTTTTCTCTTTAGGTTGTTTACTACCTACGCTTACATGCGGCCACCATCCACTGTGGGGTCTCCGTTGTTTGTGGTTTGTTTGTGATGGAGGCGTCGTGATGGAGGGGCGCGTGTGATGTGACTATTTGGGCCGTGTCAATATATACGCACAACAAACATGTTTGGATGGAAGGTCTCGGTTGCCAATGTGATGTACAAGTTTTGCTCTCTCGGCTTCATATGTGAGTTTCCCGTCGCCTTGGAAAGTAGATAGTAGGATGTCCCAGACCGTGATAGCAAGATAAGCAGGATAAGTGAGAAAGCATCCGACCCAAACCCGTAAACACCGCATCCCCCTCCACAAATTCAAACACCCATGCCCCATCGCAACCCCGACGCAACCCAGTCTCGCACGCGAACATCAAAGATTCCTCGGTCCGCAAAGACTCGTCTTCTCCACCACGAGTTCCAGACTATCTCCGCCCAGTCCACAAGCGTTGAACCTGCTCTTCCAGCACCCACCTTCCTCGTCCAATGTCGACTGAAGTTGAACCACCTTTGCATTGAGTTCTTGAAGGTTCTTCTCCTGAAAGGCCTTGCTCAACGCATCTTTCGGTTCTTTCTCGTGGCTGAGTTGAATCTGAAGGGCGCGAGCTGCGCGGTTCGCGGCGGACAGGGTGGTGTAGATTTCAGGGCGGGTGTGGGCGTGGTAGGCACGGATTGGTTCTTGGGTTGGGGGATCGGGGGAGTCGGTGCCGGCGTCGGATGAGGAGGAAGAGGACGAGTCTTCAGCGTCGGCTTGTGTGATTATTTTGAAGAGGCGGACAATGTAGCATGTGCTTGAGATGAACGATGTGCCCTTTATTGCCTGTGGGGTCTGGTTTGCGAGTGCGGATACAAGGTCGCGCTGTACCCAGATCTTGAGGTGGGAGGTGTTTGCGGGGTTGTCAAAAGGTGTGATGGAGCCAGTGAGGATGGAGCATCCGTGTTCGTCCCGATTGTTGCTCTTTCCGAAGATAACGTCGTTAAAGAGGGTGAAATTGCCTTGGAACACTTTTTCGGCTTGCGCATTTGCGTCGTCGAGGCTAGTGAAGGGTCGCACGGTGATCTCAGTCGCTGGGAGGGTGCTTTCGACCTGCTCGCCCTGCCAGGTCTTTTGGAAGACGGAATATTCAAAGTAAGGCTGTGCCTCGTTGGAAACATCAGGGAGGCCATTGAGGTGTAGGATCTCCGCATTCGTGTCTATCGTAGTCTCCAAAGGAAGCAGTCCTGGATCGGGTGTTGATACGGGTGGTGTCGTAGCAGTCTTGGTGGCGCTATCGATCGTCTTCGCTGACGAGGTAGGATTCAGATCCTTCATTGGGAGATTATTTCCTTTCTTTAAGATTGCTACGTGTCCATCTACAGGCTTGTCATCAGTGGTCTTGGAAACGGATGATATACCAGTAGTCGTATGGTCAAGGCTATCGACGTCCATCAATGTACTGGCTTCCCGTGACTTTTTCGAACCTCCAGGCATCTGGATTATTGATTCGTTCGACGATTTCTCTAGCCGAGGTGTAGAAGCCGCTCCGTGGGGTGTGTCTCCCTTTTTTGCGGTGGAAGGAGGCACCTCGCTGGCCTTCGTAGGCACCTCGCGCGAATGTGTTCTCGGGGCTACAACTGAGCCAGGGGTAATGCCATCCTCTGATGCTGGCATGGCACTATTTGGACGCTTCGAACCAGTGGTAGAGGTCAGAGTAGGCCTCTTGGATGCTGTACCGGTGATTTGTCCAGATCCATCGGAGATGATGTCCAATTTTCGCTTTTGAGCTGGCTGCCCAGGAGCTGACGAAGCAGATTTGGAGTCAGCTGCATCCGCGTTTGATACGTTTGGCGTGGATTTCCTGGACTTTGAAGCAGATGGTTGTGCCTGGTCCTGTGATCTTTTCGCTGTTTCAGGCCTCGATACCTCCAAAACGTCTCCTGGAGAAAATGAGTGCTTCTCAGGTGCTGTAATGTTCGTAGCGGTATTGCGATCTTTCCCAAGTAGCTGAGCCGTCTTCCTGAACTTGCTGACTGGAGACGTCGAGATCGGACTTCTTTTAGCAATTTCCAGCTCGTTTCGGCCACTAGTCCGAGCCTTTGAAGATGGCCCACCCGTACCATCATTTCTTGCATCCATCAAAGCCAACTGGAGAAGACTCATAGGCTTAGTAGCAGGTGAGGCCTTGTGAGTTGACGCATCATTCCCGTAACCTGGAAGCGTACTTGCATCGAACAGCTTGCGCGGTTGGATTGCTGCGCTGGGCGAAGAACCTTCAATAGCGGCGCTAGGGGGTAAGGGGTTTGAGCTGATCTGCTTTTGTACACTACCATAGGTTCTGATATTTGCGATAGGTTGCTCAGTCTCTTGGAAGATCGAAGTTGGTTTGCCCTTAGTCGTTGACATCGATGGACCCCTCACTTTAGGCTGTTGATCAAGGCTTTCTGCTGGTTTTGTCTCAGATACCGCAGCGGGTCGTTTACCACGGTTTGTATCGCTACTGCCGGTCGACTGCACAGGCACTGAAGGTTGTCGGTTAAGTGGTGCAGTGAGACCCGTAGCAACGGGAGATGCGCGAGCTGTTGCGACGGATTGTTGTACATGCATAGATGGTCGCTTCTCCTTAGTATTCGTCTTTGTGCCTTTGAATCTTCCCAAAAGCGCGTTAAGACGGTCTTTGTTCAACTGCTTAGTCGGTAGATTTGTTGAAGTAGACTCAATCCTCAAGCTGGCCGGAAAAGAGTCTGGTTTTTCTAGTCCCCAGGATGATCTTGGGACGGGTGATCTAGAAAGATTGCCATGCTTGCGGTCATCTTGATCGCTCTCGTCGCTGCCCTCGATATCGCTCTCGTCACTGCTCGTGACAACGAAACCGCCCTTCGTGCATGGGCGCTTCGCGGTGCTGGATGAGGCAAACGGCTCACTCGGACGTCTCTTGGCTGCCATGTTCTTCGTCTTGCCCACTTTGCTATCAGATCTTTTGTGGGTAACGGTTTCCATAACGCGCTTGTGCTGTCGGCGAGAAGTTGAGGTTTGAAGTTGCTTGCGTTTTGCAACCAAGGTTGGTGAAGAGAGCACTTGGCGAGATCGAGGACGGCTGCTTCGAGACTCACTGCTATCGCTTGCCGCAGTCTCAGCAGATTTGTACGCAACAGGCTTCTTGCGCCGGCCTTTCTTAATTAGTGGTATCGGAAGTTTTGCTGGCTCGTCTTCTTCACTTGTTGCATATCCAGCGAGCTGTCCCAGGGATCGAAGGCCTTGGGTAGACACTGCCTTAGTTGTAGAGATTGACGGCAGGGCAAACTTTGGTGGGTGAGAGGTTGGCTGGTGAGCCTTGTCAAGTTTGTCATGAGACAGGTGATTGCGCTCGATAGCAGAGCCCTCATCGACAGGGCCCTTGAACGAGGTGAGAGAACCACGCGTGAGCGCCATTACGGAAGACCGATCTTGCTGACTGTGATCTGCCTGTTCCAAGAGCGACTTCTTCAGTTGAAAGTTCGAAAGAATGGCATCCGACCAAATGAGAGGGAGTGGGTCACATATGGAGAAATCATACGATCGGGCGGTCCGAGAAAGTCTTTCCAGGCTTGCTGTGCCCCGGGGATGTCCTGCGGCGCCAGAGAAAGCGGTACTGTCGGCATCTCCGCTGTCAACGTACGAGGCTCCAGTAAGACTAACAGGCCTTTCATCGGGCGATGGAGTACAAAACAGTGGAGATTCGTTTCGCTCCCCGGTGTGGCGCCTTCCAACATGGGAAATGGCCATGATCAAATAACATCTGGTCGATTTCACCCAATTTACGTGATCACTACAGGGTAACGCTTGTTTTTCACTGGAAGAGTGGGATCTTGTCGTCTCCCAATACCCGACAGAAGCCCAACAAACGCCGAGACGCTTGCACAGCACCTGTCGGGCGGGACATGGCTTTGCTGTCAGGCAACGATTTGGGCCTTTTGAGCGCAAACAGCCATGAACCAGAAAGAAGCAATAGGCGGACCGGGCTGGTCCTATCAGGAGCGATCAGCAAGCTTCCAGCCTCGCCGTGAGGGCCTCGTATCGGATAGCAACTGCCAAGATATGGAAATGTTGTAGGAAGCAAACGGAATGCGCTGTTCAGTTCATTTCCCGGTTTGAAACTCTGTGCCGTACTGGCCGAGAAATCTCATATGCTTCGGAGCGCTATGTGACAAATGTATGCCTAGGTTACTCACGGAAGTGGGCTCGCCTGGATGATGGTAGTCATAAGGCAAGTCGTCCCGATCGAATATCATGCCAAAGAAAGATGATTAACGAGCATCGGTTCAAATCGCTGACTGTAACGCCTTTCGTAGGAGATACCTAGGTAATTGCTTCTTGGATACGAGATGCTAGAAGGCGCGTACCGAACGCGTGTCGAGGGTTAAAGGCGGGGCTGAGGGAGGGCGTTGAAGCAACAACACAGAAAATTCACGCTGAGTGAGTCGGTGTCGACAGTAAACAACGCGAAATTGGATAGTCAGGGCTTCGCAAAGGCGACGACGACGGGCCTCGGCGCGACGCGTGAAAGATCGAAGCGTCAGCGCACCATAAGAGATTCGCAGCTGACTAAGCTAGTGGGTCCACCTCGCGAATCTCCAGCCCTCGTCTTTCTGACCTACTAATTAGAACTGTCGACGCCCGTGCGAGATCGCTAATCTTCAGGGCCATGGCAGAAGGAACCGCACCAGCTGCTGAAGTCCCGGTCTCTGACAAGGCGTTGCGAGATGTGGCCAAGAATGTGGCGAAAATGTTGCCTAATTTCGCGGAGAAAGAGCCTGCAACTGCTCTGAAGTAAGGACGCAAAGTCCGTGAGCTTTGCTTTGTCGATGCCGAACCCCACTAACGTCTGAGTAGAGAGCTTCGTGTTATTCTCGATCCTGCTTTGGAAACTGCAGACCTCCCAGAACTAGAGAACAGCCATCGAGCAGCCGCATCCAATGCCTTGTGCGCAATCATTGAGTACTGCGCGGCTTCCAACTGCGCCTATGCACGGGAGGCGATCCTAGATGATTCCATATGGATGCGAGTATTCAACATATATCTTCAGCGGTCTGGAGATGCAAAGGGCAAGTCGATGAGGCAGATGCTCTTGGTCCTTACGGGTGTCATTACTAAAGATCAGAGTGCGCGTACAATCGAACTTCGGACACGAGCTACGACCTCATTCCTGGACATCATCTGTGAGCGAGAAGACCGCATCAAAGTTAAACCAGCTTTGCAAGGCCTTGCGCATTTCCTGCTGCGGGATGTGATTTCCATCACGGATTTGGTCAGTCTGTTCGACGAGCAGCTGAAGCGAACATCAGATGCCATCCAGGGGCCGGTAACTTCGCGAACAGTGTTCACATCCTTCCTTGCCTGGGTCGTGCATCATGATACTTCCCTTTCAGCGGGACACTTGATTAAGAACTACTTACTACAGGCTCGCCGTCTCGCAAACTACGACGAACACCCCGACGATGGCTTAGTCTTACCTCCCTGGATAGAGCCGGTGATGCAGACGTTGCGCGACTGGCCAGACCGGATCCAGGAGTTTAAGACTCACGTCTTCCCTCACTGTTTTCTACCCAATCTCTCTGAGTACCTAAGGTTCCTCGCATATCTCAATTTCGAGTCCCATGTTCCGTATAAGCATGCGTTACCCAGCCAGCTTCGCCAGTCCGGCAGGCGCACATCATCTCTTGGTGGACTAGAAGAGTTCAGAATACTCCTAGCAGCGATCGCAACTGGGAAGGAACTCAGCATCGTAAAGGATAATGGTAAGTGGATGTGATTGGCATGTATCAATAACAAAGGCACTCGCTCATCTCTGTACTAGATCATAGAGCTCAAAGCACCATCCAAATCCGTGACGGGGCGCTCTATTTGCCGGACGACATATCAGGAGCCTGGATGGCGGACTCGGAACCAGAAGTCAGGCTTGCAGGCATGTTCCTGGGCGTGTATTCTACTTCTGTCACGAAAGCTATGAGTGGCGGTGTTTTGCAGGCCTTGGAGCGCAACCTCCCCCATCTTCATACCGACACGGATGCAAATTTCCGCCGGGAGGTGCATGGTTATACACAAAAGCTATTTGATCGTCTGAGAGCTAGTACGGCTACTCTAGCAAAACCCATCACGAAGGTTACTTCTTCAGACCAGAGACGCCTCCCTTTCCCAGCGACAAGCTCTAGCCCACATGTTTCAATTGCGCGGGTTCCGCGACAAGATTCGCTTTCTGAGTCCCTAGCTTTCATCACCTGGTATGTGCAGTTCCTTGAGTGGGAGCTGCGCCCAACTGCCTCTTACCAGAGCCGCATCACCGCACTACGGTCCATCACCATCGTATTACGATCTGGGATAGATCCTGGGGTACCGTTTACCAGTCTCTCAAAGTCTGCGCAAGGTCAGCTAAACTGGGCTCACGGTCTCCAGTTCGGAAACCAGAAGCTGTGCCGAATACTGCTCGATTTAATACTGGATCCTTTTGACGATGTTCGAGACGCGGCTGTAACGGTCTTGCAGCTATGTCTAGTTGCGCTTCCGCAAACCGATAAGAAACGCATCATGTCAATGATTCCCCGATTCGTTACGAGAGCGGAGGCTACCATGCTCCGAACAGGGCGAGCGGATCAAGCGGACGGTGTTGCGCGTGCTTACGGGATGATCTTTGCGTTGGCTGGCGATGATCCAGGTGCCCCCACTGGCGAACACTTCTCTTCCAAGCAGCACCTCTTCGAATATCTGAGAACACAACTCGACGAAACGTTGACTCTGGCCCGCAGCGATCTTCCACGAGCCGTCGATGGTCGACCGGTACATGGTACATTTGCTGCATTACGATATGTGACCGATCAACCCGATTTTTACGCGTTCGTCTCGAGCTTGCCATCTGATCAGTTTGCGCACTGGAAAAAAGCGCATGGGGACATCGTAACAGGCATAGAGAGTCTGTGGTCCTGCGTCTATCACGTTCTGTGTGCGGATGCACCGGAAGGCCATGTTCCTGACGAAGTAGAAGATGAGAGTAGCTTAGACACTAAAGAGATTCTGAGTTACTCATGGAGAGGACTGAAGGAGGCTAGGTATTGATTCCTCGACTACACAGCCGACACTGCTAACTTCATCAGTGTGCTTTTACGAACGATCATCCTCAAAGCTCCTGTAGGTGACGGTGACAACGACCTTGTGACTCCAGAACTCTTCGAAAAGCTCGGCAGACTCTGCTTCACTCAGCTACTGGAGCTTCGTCATCGCGGTGCGTTTTCGACAGTCTCTCAGACATTTGCAGTCTTCTGTCGCCGCTGTGTCTTGTCGAACATATCCACATTACGTGCTTTACCAGAGATGTGGTATCAGGTTTGTACAGCCACCGTCGGTGTGATCTGGAAACTAAAAGTCTCTAGGAAACGCTACGATCCATCCAAGCAAAGTCAGACGCCATCACTCGGAGGTCGGCGGGCATACCAGCAGCCATGTCCGCTCTACTGGCAGCTGAGCCACAAACAGGAGGCAAACTCTTCCCTCGAGCTGTCACAGATCTTGTCGCCGAAACTCTCGTGGAGGCGCAAAGCACAAATATAGAAGAAAGCCGTCTTCCTCAGGTGCATGCTCTGAACTGCATCAAGGAAATATTCACGACCTCGAAGCTGAGTATTGCATCGGAGACGTACATCGGGCAGGGTCTCGAGCTTGCTGCTAAAACTCTAAGCTCGTCCATGTTAGTGACACTTACACAGACATTACAGTTTTTAAGCTAACGCGCACTCAGATGGCCCCTTCGCAATTGCAGCTTGATGCTGTTCAAAGCTCTGATCGAACGACTACTCGGCAGCGACGAAGCTCAAGACTGGAAAGAACGAGAGCGAGCCAAAACGTCTCGGTTCTCCTACGACAACTATCCCAGTCTCGTGAAGATCCTGGTTGAACTGCTTGAGCCAAGCGGCGATCTCAAAATCATGGAGACACCCGAGAGTGGCAGTTCGCCAATGGATCTCCATGGTGCTGAAGGCGTGTTTCCCGCTCTCCAGATCTTGCGTCAGGCCCGGCCGCCGGGAGATCTTACCAAGATCCGCGGCTTGGTAAGGGACTTACTACCGAGCCCGCATTGGCATATGCGAGATATGGCGGCCAGAACATATGTATCACTGGGTACTACTAACGAGAGCTACCATGAACTCTCTCCAATTCTAGATACGGTTACCAGCGATCACAATGAACAGCATGGAAGGCTTTTAGTAGTCAAGTACCTGCTGAGGAAGCTGTTGCGAGACGAAAACCAATGCAGTAAGTGGTGTCGGAAGCAGAAACTAAATATTCAGCTGTTGACTTCTGACAGCTTTGCAACACTTCTCATCGTTGATGCAGCAGCTCGGCCAACACGCAACGAGTTGGTACATTTCGAGTAATTGTCCTTTCGTACGAGCCGCCTTTCT